ACTTTGGGAGCAGAGGGTGCTTTGGCCTCAGTTTGGTCATCTGTAAAATGGGGTGGGTGTTCCCATCCAGTCCAAAGGGTCCTAAATGGTATCTCTCTGATGGGCGCAGTCGTTTCCCGCCCTGCTGAAGAGCAGGAGCCCTCCCACAGGGCTGAGGGTGGAGTACCTGCCACCAGCACCTTAAACAGATGTGAGGGTTTATTGTTGTTCCAATTGCCCTCCCAGGAAACAGCTGTTAAGAACAAGGCTTCTTTGATAGACTTCATCAAAGCTGCTTCCACGTTCCCTGGAGATTGAGTAGGGAGTGGGGGTGGGGCAGAAAGAGCCTCCATCTGAGAACAGCTGACGGCCAAGCCCCAGCACAGAGCTGGAGGCTTTGAAGGGCGCCTTCTTCTTTGGTTGGGGCTAAGAATGCCCCTGAGGCAGGTAACCCTGACACAGCCCTTTTGAGGGGCTCTTTAGGGCACTTCTCTGCTTCCTCCCTGGGTGGGCTTGGGGGCCCAGCGCTCTTGGCAGCTGAGAGCTCTTTCACTGTGGTTCCCATTCTCCAGAGCAGGGGGTGAATAAGGAAGATAGAGGGAAGCCTGCCTTCTCAGTTGCCTTCACCCCGGAAGGTCCCTGGGGCTCTGGTCAGGGAGGGGACCCTGATGATGTCTCTGCCCAGAGCTCCCAGGCCTGCCTCACTCAGGGACCAAGCCTGTCCAGGAAAAGGACTGGTCTCTGAGGAGAACCAGCAGGAGGAAGAACTAGCTTAAAACCTCTCTGCCAGTCAGCGCCCCTCCAGCACTTTCCATGATGAAAATGTTGCCCAAGAGCTCCTGCTGCAGGGTGGGGTGTGGGCATGTCCACCTGTGTACACGTGTGTGTGTACACACGCTGTCTGGAGACTGAACTGGAACAGTCGCAAGTCTCCTTGGGGTTAAGGGTATATTTTGGAGTTAGCCCCAGGTCAGAGGCTGGAATCTCTACCAAGACATTCATTTACTTCCTCAGTTTTCTCATCTGTTAATGGTCCTAGTACTGTTCATGTGGTTCTCAAAGCAAGAATACTGAAAGTGGTTTGCCATTCCCTTCTTCAGTGGACCACGTTTTGTCAGAACTCTCCACCATGATCTGTCCGTCTTGGGTGGCCCTACATGGCATGGCTCATAGTTTCATTGAGTTAGATAAGGCTGTGGTCCATGTGATTAGATTGGTTAGTTTTCTGTGATTGTGGTTTTCAGTCTGTGAAATGGCACCCCACTCCAGTACTTTTGCCTGGAAAATCCCATGGACGGAGGAGCCTGGTATGTTGCAGTCCAAGGGGTCGCGAAGAGTTGGACACTACTGAGTGACTTCGCTTCGCTCGCCCTCTGATGGAGAAGGCTAAGAGGCTTATGGAAGCTTCCTGATGGGATAACCTGACTGAGGGGGAAACTGGGTCTTGTTCTGATGGGAAGGGCCATGCTCAGTAAATCTTTAATCCAATTTTCTGTTGATGGGTGGAACTGTGTTGCTCCCTGCTATTTACCTGGGGCCAAGCTATGGTGGCTGCTCAGTGCTGGAGCAGCGAGTGGCAACTGCGCAGATCTGGAGTGGCAAGCCGTGGAGAGGAGATCCCCCACATCCAAGCTCAGTGGCGGCGGCCGTGAGTAGATACTCCACGTTCAAGGTAAGGAGCAACGGCTGCACTTTGCTGGAGCAGCCGTGAAGAGATACTCCACGTCCAAGGTAAGAGAAACCCCAGTAAGACAGTAGGGGCTGAGAGAGGGCATCAGAGGGCAGACAGACTGAAACCACAGTCACAGAAAACTAGCCAATCTTATCACATGGACCACAGCCTTGTCTAACTCAATGTAACTAAGCCATGCTGTGTAGGGCCACCCAAGATGGACAGATCATGGTGGAGAGTTCTGACAAAATGTGGTCCACTGGAGAAGGGAGTGGCAAACCACTTCAATATTCTTGCCTTGAGAACCCCATGAATAGTATGAAAATGCAAAAAGATAGGACACTGAAAGATGAACTTCCAAGGTCAGTAGGTGCCCAATATGATCCTGGAGATCAGTGGAGAAATAACTCCAGAAAGAATGAACAGAGCCAAAGCAAAAACAACACCCAGTTGTGGATGTGACTGGTGACAGAAGCAAGGTTCGATGCTGTAAAGAGCAATATTGCATAGGAACCTGGAAAATTAGGTCCATAATCAAGGCAAATTGGAAGTGGTCAAACAGGAGATGTTAAGAGTGAACGTCGACATTCTAGGAATCAGTGAACTAAAATGGACTGGAAGGTGAATTTAACTCAGATGACCATTATATCTACTATTGTGGGCAGGAATCCCTTAGAAGAAATGGAGTAGCCTTCATAGTCAACAAAAGTGTCTGAAATGCAGTACGTGGATGCAATCTCAAAAATGATAGAATGATCTCTGTTTGTTTCCAAGGCAAATCATTCAATATCACGGTAATCCAAGTCTATGCCCCGACCACTAATGCTGAAGAAGCTGAAGTTGAATGGTTCTATGAAGACCTACAAGATCTTTTATAACTAACACCAAAATAAGATGTCCTTTTCATTATAGGGGACTGGAATGCAAAAGTAGGAAGTCAAGAAACACCTCCAAGTTTGGCCTTGGAGTACAGAATGAAACAGAGCAAA